AACTGTATTCTTAAGCAACAGGGCTGTGTTTGCAATTAGACCTTGTGGTCGTGGTTAACCACACATTCAGCAATGGCAAACAGGGGTGCCGTGGATATTTCATAACATATTTCAAGAATAAGCATACGCCTTAGTGGAAAGAATCATAATCGCAGAAAGAATAAAATAAAAAGTTTTTTCCTGGTTATTATTCTAATAAAATAAAAACCATTCAAATGGCTGATTTAAAACCTAATTTTTTTCAATCACTACTGTAGACAATGGGATTTTACACATTAGAAGAAAACTACGGTACCTAATCTGAAATGCTGCAGATCGATTAAGTTGTGAAAAAAGAAAAATAGAAATATTCGGATAGGTACGGTTTACAATAGCACTATCTTGTCACGACGTATCGACAACACCACCATTGCAACACTTATTCGCCATGCCTGTCTAGACGTTTCGATAGCGAATCGTTGTCGCTTCCATATCGACTTGCTACTGTGAGTGTTGCTCATACACGAAATAATACAAATGGTATGGGCTAATAGAACTAATAGTAAACAGGAATAGTAATCAAAGATGAGCCATTAAAGAGGGAGGAAGAGACAACAACAATAACCTAAGATAAGCCCTGATAGCAAAACCGGTGCGAGCTGTGTGTATCAGCAACGGTAATCTGTCGACAATTATTGCCAACGTGCGACGGCGACGAATCGACAGGTCTCCTTTCTTGTCAGCGGTAAGCGAAGCACGCCTAAGCAGCTATGGAAAAAGCGACTATAGATAGCCCTCTTTTTCGTCGAAGATATTTTATGTGCACTGTCTATGGTTTCTCATAGAACTTTGCTATCAGGGATGGGACGGAAAACGCAGCAAGATAAGAAAGTGGGCTAAGGATTGCAAGAAAGGATCCGCCTGTGGCTTCTGTCGGTTTAAAACTGAGTTTAAGGGCTCAGAGGCGAACCCTGAAACGACATAATGGGGTTACTGGGAGTGGTCGAGTCCGCCAGAAGTAGCGAGCATTACAGCCGATTACTCGAATTCTACACCTAGTCGGCAGCTCACTAAAACATTGCTTTCAGAGGAGAAAGTGACTATGGCACATGTAGAATTAAACACTGATAATGATCGAACGTGACAGATGAAGCAAATCGACACTGGTGAGGAAAAGTGAATTATTATGGGAGAAGATAGGCGGGTGTCAAATTGTACACTATCGACTTATGGTCCAACTCGCAGCGCACTTACAAGAAATTTGGCGCCAAGAGCAGGGCTGTCGGGTTCTCTCAAGGACGCGACCATCGTCGAGGGCAAAATTGTTCGATAAATCTGTGAGAAAGACGGGTGTACATTACCTGTCAATATCGCAAATCTTCGTTTGCCTCCTCCTCAACTGTCTTAATGTCAATATAGAACAAGAACTCCCACCGGGAAGCCAGTGTAGCTTCCGATGACGTCGCGACAATACCGATATAACGGAAAATTACAACAGAATTTTTATGAGATACAGACCCCTTCACACTACCTTCGGACATCTGACGAAATCCTTCGACATGGTGAATCGCCATGGACTCCAGAAAATCATACAGAAATTCGGATGTCCTGAAGGATTCATGCGCATGGTTGTTTTCTTCACGATGGGATCATGGCGCCTAGAACCGAGGACGGGACTGTCTCCGAAGCATTTGTAGTGACCAACGGTGTGAAGCCGGACTGCGCACTCGCTCCTGTCCTCTTCAAACTCATGTTCGCTGCCATGCTTGTACTGGCAATTTATTTGGGCGCGATGCACTTAGATCGGCCCGACGATGGGAAACTTGTACCCTTCGTGAGGTCTCAACCTATTTGCAGATCCGGTTTCTGCACAGATGTCTCGACAATAACGGGATGCTGATTAATGTCTACCGTTACGATCGCCCTGAGATACGCATCGCACACAGAACTGATAGGCACTTTCTCATCTGACTTGCTCTTTGCCGTCGGCTGCATCGAACCTGGACAAACTATACGGCATCAACAGTCGCCCAACACCGCCTACAACGTCCCCATGGCAACGTCAGTGGCACCTAACTGCAAATCATGGACAACTCCACCCACTTAGGCAGCACACTTTCCCGCAACATCAAAATCGATTACAATTGGGCTTATCGTATCTCCAGAGCAAGCCGCGCTTTTGGCCGGAATTTATATGGAAGCGATGTCGTCTCCAGCTCAACACAAGGCTCATTATATACAATGCTGTCATTTTGAGAAAGCTGGATGGTTTAGAAGAAACGGGCGCGATAACTAAATTACTTCCAATACAGTGGGCTTCGAAAAATCCTAAAGCTGTGTTGGAAAACAAGATAAGTGTACGGAAGTTCTGGAACGAATCGGAATCTCCAACATCCAAACCCATGCTGGGACAACTGCAAAAGTGTATTTCCTCGAACTTTGCAAAGGCGGCCTTGATGAGATATAAGGGGGACATTGCGGATTTGTGCACGTTTAAGCAATGGAGTGAAGGCTTCAGTGAAGGTGTGATTTACACCCCGAGATCATTCTGAGACTCTACCTCTGGCAGCAGGACGTGATTTAGGCAATGCATTCTCCGATGTGCAGTGCTGGTTCTACCGAAGCGCATAATGTTGCATTTAGCGACATTGAATGGCAGGAGCCAGTGGTTCGACCATTAATCCAGTCGATGCAAATTTGCCTGCAGATTTGCTTCATCATCCCTGGAGAACTTCACACTCAACCACTACCTCCGTCGATCGTTGAGCACCAAGAAATACGGTCTGATATCGGGTAGTCAGAACGTTTTCGATCAATTGCAAAAGGTAGTCCCTTACAGCTGAGCTTGTATAAGAGACGTTGATGAGGTACATTGTTGAAGGCCCTCTTGAAGTCTACGAAGACTGCGTGCAGCAAATCTCCTTAATTGATTGCTCGGGTCCATC